TATCAAATACATACAATATTCATATTGAAAATAAGGAAACGTCCAGAAAATTAAAAGATGAAGAAAAAATAATGGCTAAAGAAAATAAATATTTATGTATGGCCACCTTTGATTTTGAGAAGGTTTTGCTGACTCCAAAAACTGAGGCAAGTTCATTATATTATAAACGAAAACTTTCCGTTTATAACTTTACAATATACGATATTGGACGTCATGCTGCTCACTGCTATGTTTGGAGTGAAGATGATGCACGGAAAGGTTCGAATGAAGTCGCTAGCTGCTTGCTCCATTATGTTGAGAGAAAAGTATCTGAAGGAATTACAGATTTTTTCTTCTGGTCAGATAATTGTGCAGGTCAAAATAGAAACAAAAACGTTTTTTCAATGTTTGTTTATGCCTCTTCAAGATTTAATGTCAACATTAGGCATTCATTTCTTGAAGTAGGGCATACACAAAACGAGGGAGATTCGGTTCACGCTATGATAGAAAAACACGCAAAAGGTAAAAGGATATTCAGTCTCAGTGAATGGTGCAACATTATTAAAGGGGCCAAATTAACGAAACCAAATTATGAAGTCATAATCGTTAATTACAATATGATTTTTGATTTCAAGGATTTGTCATCTCAAATGAATTGGGGGAAAACTATTTTAAAAAACAATAAACAACAAACATGTCAAGTGCCAATTTCAAAATTAAAGCAAATATCAGTCTCAAAAGAAAACTGTAACCAACTGCAGTACAAAACATCATTCAAAATGGAATTGGAAACACTTGTGACTGGAAAAGGAAAGAATAACGTCAATGTAAAGAAATACGATCTTAAAAAAGCCTACTTCAGTTACCAAGGACTTCCTGCTGCCAAATTGAAGGATTTAAAATCTTTGTGCCTAAATAACATCATCCCATCCAAATATCATAATTATTACAACTCTTTTCAAGAGAAAGTAATAATTGAACAAAACACGAGTGACGAGGAAGAATAATACAGATTAAAAAGAATTATTCACTGCGTGTTTAATTTATGTTCTCACTGTTACCAATTTTTAAAAAATTCTATTTCTATTTTGCATGTTTTGTCGTTTACCAATTTTTAAACGGTAATTCACAATTTATTTAATATTTATGGAAAATTTTATTGTTAACAAAACTGTTAATTAGTTTAAATAAAGATGAATTTTATTGTTATTAATATTAAATATTTATTTTATTATTATTATTATTATTATTATTATTATTAATAATAATAACACTATTATTATAATCAATGGAAATAAGTTAAAACTAAAACATTTAAAACAGGTCTACAACAAGTCAGGAATAATATATAATACTACCCGTAAACTGAAAATAAATATATAAATAAATAATCGTCATTTTATCCAACCGATTAATCACTTAGCAGAATTTATTTGTTGAATTTTTATTTTTTGGAATTTTTATTAAACACAATTTTTTATAGAAATCTCATTTGATAGAAAAAAAAATTTTATAGAAAAAAAATATTTACAATTCAAGAAAATGTCAGGGAAAATTTAAGTGAAATTTTTGTGGTAACCCTATAAAATAATATTTAATTGTATTTTTGAAAATTTACATTAAAATTATAAAAAAATTCTTTAGGATTATCACGCGAAAAAATGGTTCCATAATATATCCAATTTCGTGGACTCTAGAGAGCCATTCAATTAATTGGTTATGGCTACCAATTAGTGGATACCTTATCTAATTAAAAAGATGTCCTAACTATTGCAGAGCTACAGCAGCTGACGAATTCATTGTATTATCCAAGAAATAGTCCCTCCAAACAATTTTAGGATGACGCTCCAGGGTCCCACGAGTTGGATAGATTATCTGACTATTTTTCTCCGTGTAGAAATTGTGTTAAAAAATATATAAAAATTAAACAACAAATTTCTTGGAATATCAAATTGACATTTTTAGTATTATTTTAATTTTTTAGATTTTGAAAAAGGAGAAACAAGAAACCATATTATTCAAACAGGATTTTTACACATTCAGAGAAATCTTTTATTTACTATTGTAATAATAGAATTTATCATTTGGTAAAAGCAATGTAATATATAAGATGTGAATATATAAATCTATATATCTTTTATTTATACATTTATTTGTGCCAAATAAAATTTATTTGAATGAAATAAAAATATATTTTTCCAGAGCCTAATAACTATTTACTTGTTTCAAATAAAAAATTTTATATAGCAGGCACGCATATAAAAAGTTTGCTGTGGGAGCGAACGTTTTGTTGCTACAGTGAACTTTGTTTGCTGATATAGACACAGCAAATAAGTTTTCTTGCATTTAATTCTGAATAAGACTTCTATTACTCGGAAATTTGAATAAGACTTTTATTACATGAAAATTTGAATAAGACTTTTCTTACACGGAACATTGAATAAGATTTATATTCCTCGGAAATTCAAATAAGACTTTTATTCCCCGGAACTTCGAATAAGACTTTTATTCCCCGAAATTTCGAATAAGACTTTTATTCCACAAAATCTTGAATAAGAATTGTATTACATTGGCTTTTCAATAAGCATTATATGAACAGGAGGCGTCGAAATAAGTTTTTGACAGAAGATAAGGTTATGTTAATTCTTATACACTATCGAAAGCCTGTTTATTTAACTACAATTTTGTAATACAGTTAATATCTGAAACAGTGTTTTAAACAGAACTGAGACATTTTAGAAAAAATAAGATTTTCACAAATAAACACGTAGCTTCCACAAATGATATAGCATCAAGATCAAATTTTTCTTGACGTCTTTTGGTGTTAAAACAAGTATATATGAAGAATAGTGCCCTTTTTAAAGAAGCCGTATAGGCAATAGAGCCACTAACTATCCTTGCCCCATCCTCCCCTACTATAAACATCCATACTTCGAATTATAGATTAATAATGTTGGTTTTGTTCAGCATTTATGAGTTTGCTTTATAACGATTAACAAAACAAAATTATTGAAATAATAAAAATTAACCATTCTTTGAAAATTGATTAAAAATAGAAATTTTAATATAAATTTAAATAATAAAAAAAAATATGAGAATATGCGAATGAATTAGATAAATTATATATTTTAATCAATCAATATAAAACCATGGAATTACAATCATATGAAGATGATCCTCAATTATAAGGGAGGATAAGTGGATCAAAACTGATATAAAAATGAAAAAAGATTGCATTGAAGTATATAAAAAACGATAAAAACTTATCCAGCCGGTGATTATTTTACTCCGTTGTGGGATGAAGGCGTCGTTTGAAAAACTGGTCTCAATATCGGATAAGTATCGCTGGATTATTTGTTAAAGTGCAATTATATATATCACAATCCAGAATATCTCAATATTTTGAAGACAAAAATTGCTCTATCGACAAAGGGCCCAAATCCAAAAGAAATTATTGATTAACCTTTACTTGACACACTTTTTCTGAGTATTATACTTGACACATTGGGGTTTTTTGTACCCCATCGACAAAAATCATCATAAAAAATAAAATATTAAATATATCTACTTCAATTTTTTTTACATATTCTGAGAGGTATCTTCTGAAAACTATATAAGTTATATAGTAGAATATTTAAAGTAAGTATTTTTAAAAAATTGGAAAACGTGAGGTATTTCGAGAAAAATGGGTAAGAATGGAAAAACGTGGGGTATTTTGTACCCCAGTGTGTCAAACAAAGGTTAATTCTTATAAAATAGGCAACTCCGTCCCAAGACCTCCGCATATAAAAGATTCTTTTTCAATCACCCCAGCCCAAAAAGTCAATGTTCTGGGATTGGCTTCATACTCTGGTAAATTGTTCTCCTATATGATAGTAATAAATCCCTAAACTATAAACTCATTAAAAAAATATTTGTAGAAAGTAGAGGGGGTTGAAGTTTTGACGTTAAGGGTAACATTGTCATTTTCAAATCCGTATAACTATGACAAAAGTTAATGGATTTTAATTTATCTATAATGAATTTTAATGCATTTTTCACGTACTTTTCAAAAATGTATACGAAATTAAAAAAAAAAATTTTTGAACCCTTTTTTTCAAAATCAACCCTTATTTTTCGATTTTCACCCCTTCGGGAATTTTTTTTTTTTTTTTTTATTTTCATTGGAAAGCTGAGGTTTTTTCCCATGAGCTATGTAAATACGAAAGTGGGACAACAATAATTTTGTGAGAAACATAATATTAAATTAGGCGGTGCCTACCTAAATCCTCAAAGATGATCTCCAAATATACCCCTTATCGGCACCGCCTACTTTAATATTCTGTTTCTCACAAAATTATTGTTGTCCCATTTTCGTATTTACATAGCTCATGGGAAAAAACCTCAGCTTTCCAATGAAAATAATAATAAAAAAAAATACCCGAAGGGGTGAAAATCGAAAAATAAGGGTTGATTTTGAAAAAAGGGGTCAAAAAATTTTTTTTTAATTTCGTATACATTTTTGAAAAGTACGTGAAAAATGCATTAAAATTCATTATAGATAAATTAAAATCCATTAACTTTTGTCATAGTTATACGGATTTGAAAATGACAATGTTACCCTTAACGTCAAAACTTCAACCCCCTCTACTTTCTACAAATATTTTTTTAATGAGTTTATATTTTAGGGATTTATTACTATCATATAGGAGAACAATTTACCAAAGTATGAAGCCAAACCCAGAACATTGACTTTTTGGGCTGGGGCGATTGAAAAAGAATCTCTCATATGTATCGCTCTCGTATCCCAAAAGAATAGTAAATTAACCCAGATCTTTGTATTCAAACAAACATTAACATTTCTGAATTTGACTTAAATTGAAACAAGATGAATATCCCTATATTTGAAATAATTCAGCTTAAATTGTAAAATTCATTATTTTACTGCAGTCTTATGAAATGAATAAGATGCTATTTCTTTAAACTATTTTCCGTATAAAAATTATATAAATGTCTTGAATACCATTTTGTTATATTTCCAGGTCGGCACTGCCATGGACTTTAGCACATAGAAATAAAAAATTTCGAGTTTCACCTGACAAAGATACAGTTAAAGAAACAGCTAATAAATCTCAACAACAACATTATCAACAACAAGAACATCCATCTCATCATCATTCAAAAGAATCAAGTGCACACCAACATTTTTCTTATGGAGAAAAAGAGTCCGTAGGTGCTTCAGACTCTAGTAAAACAGTATCTAGTCAAGATGAAGAAAAATCTGCGAAAGAAGAAAAAGAAGCAAAGAAAACACGTGTTAAACAAAGTTTGATGAAACGAGCTAGATCAGTTGCAATATTTTCTTTAAAGTTAAAAGAAAGAAGAGCGAGGGAAGCAGAGGTAAAGGCTAAAGAAGTAGAAAAAGAGGCCAGGTGGCAACAACCTCAAATGGTTGGTGGTGAACTGTCATGTATTCCAATAGAAAAACTTATTTCTGTAGATGACATCGCCGCCATGGAAGTCCGCAGGATGAATCAATAGTTAATTACAAGCTTTTTTTATTTTCTGCCAACTGGTTGGAAATACAGTACAATATACCAAATAGAAATTTATTTATCAACTAGGATAGCTTTAGGGCATTCAGGGGATAATACTATGACAAGAAAATACATATTTAATTTATTTAAATGATACTTATTTAATTTATTTAAATGATACATATTTAATTTATTTAAATGTTTATAATAAATCATTTTGATAAATTTAATGATTAAAGATAAAACATGAAGTATTGTTGACAATGTTAATATAGTTACATTAAATGAAAAAAATTTTGGAAATGAAAAAAAACTTCCATAATCAAGCATTTTCTACGTATTAATAAAAAATATTTTTTTCTTAATTAGAAAGAAAATTTTACTTATTTATTAAATATCAGCATAATTCGAATAAAAATATAGTTCTAGCGTTACCCTAGTTGACGGTATGAATTTCTGTATGGTTTTGCAGTGAGTCGATTAACACGAAAAGAATATTGTATTTATGTGAGCAAAATAATCATGATTGCGACATACGTGCATTGATTAAAATGCCGAACAGAAACCGGATAAAAATCGGTTTTTGCCTTTTCCTTATAGAAATCTAAATCTTATCCTTAATATATTTGGTTCTATACGTTTTATATCCCACAATAGTAATTTAAAGAATATTAAATAGTGCTGAAAAAATGTTATTAATTGGACTGAATGGAAAAATAATATTAATAATTTAAAAATTTCTACTGAAAACGCTCAATAATTACACTGAAATTTCCCGCACATGAAGGATCGTACGAATCCTTAACTAATATAGCTTGTATAAATTATTATATTTAAAAAAATGTTGTATATCTATTAAGAATGTTGAATAAAAAAAGAAATTGTTGAAAACATATAACTTTCAATTTCCTAATTTGATACATGAATAAAATACTTCAATGAGCAGAACGAATTTAAATATGGAATTATTTTGAAGAAACTGCAATTATTATATTTTAATTCCAAATCCTATATCAAAAGCAGACAAACTTGGTTAAAATCTATTATTAATATTTGTAAATTATATAAATTATTTGATTATGATTCCAACGAGTTGAATACCTCTGGAAAAAATTTTAAACTATTATGTCTTGAAAGAAGTTAATTTTTGAATTCAACATCCATCTGTATCTTTATTATGTCGTTAAAGATACTTTTTGTTGGTACTTTAATACCGAAAGTATTTTATCTAATTAATATATTAATAAATAAATTACGCTTAGATATTAGGACGTTTCATCAAAAACAATTTTGTCGATTTTTCAAATCCTTAAACCGGAATTATACTTCTTTTAACCTAAAAAATTCTGACCTATTTTTGGGTTAAGCGAAGTATACTTTTGCAATGCGGGATAGAAAGCGTACTGCCCCTTTGCTAATGAGCAAGTGAAGAAATTCAAATCGTACATGTGCCGGAAACAAACGGATAAGGAAATGCATCCAGTTCGTTACCGGTTTCTGTTTAACATTTTAAAATAATTTGTCCTTTACATCGCTCTGATAATAATTTATATTGTCATGAACATTAAGAAAATATTTAATTAGATTTTTATTTATTTCATCTTATTTTGCAAAAATTTTCATTTAGGTTATGTAAAATAAATTAAAGTACTTAAAAAAAACTAAATGAAATATCTGTTTCATAAAATTATAATTTAAGCCACATATAAAAAGATGTTTTAAAGTACTAATTTATCAGGCGAATGTGTGGGACAAAACATTAAACTATACAAAACCTATGCGTGGCTTCCACACGAGGCACATCTTTTGTAAGTAAAATAAGATGAAATTTTTACTTAGAAAGTAAACTAAATGATTACAAATTATCGTGTACATAATTATCCTACAATTATTTATTATTTTCTTTTTTATTTCTTCTGATGCAATTTGGTAAAATTCTCTTCTATTTTCTTAGTTTTTAACATTTTAAATTTGTTACTAAATATTTTAAATTATGTTTTAAGTTCAAAATATGATTTTTTTTCTATATGAATTATTGTGAATCTGATTTATATAACGTATTTGAATTACAAAACAGTTCAGAGACTTGAAAACTGTTTGAAAGTGTTACCCTTGTTTTAACGTAGAACTGGCTTCTTGTGATACTCGTTTTTGATGTCTGATTTAAATGACATATTCTTTACTTATATTTTACAAAAAATAAAGAATTAAACATTTATTAATTTTGATTACACCTTTAGATTGTAATGTTAAAAAAATTCAAATACACTGAAAGAAATATGGTATGACGAATATAGATATAAAAAGTAAGTTTAGGATCCCAGAGTATAAAAAAAGATTGATGGAGCCGTTTCCTTCTTCAAAAATAGAAATTTTCAACTGGTCAATATCAAGAGTTGGTAAAAAAGATTATTACATTTTTGTAGTATATTATATGTTCTTAAAAATATTTTTCACTGACTGAACAACTAAAAGTTTTTAGCTACTCTTATACTTTAAACTTATATTTTAAAGTAAATATAAAAATTTTTTATACAATTCTTTTACTTTTGTAATCTTGATACTTTGGCACTAATTTTTGCAAACTACACGGTGCTACAAAAAAATTTTTTTAAAAAAAACTTCTTATGAAACCTATTGGAGGTTGTAGGTCACAAAAAACTAAGAAGAATGGTGTATATAAAACTCTCCAAACACCCCTAAATTTTCATTTTAGAGCCAGAAAACCATTTTTACGTATGTTTATGCATAAAAACCTTTGTAACTTTCTTATTTCTGCACCTATTTCAAAATTTTTTTTCATTTTGAAGCTGAGAAACAGAGCTTTTTAGCTCATATTCGATGTTTTTGTTTAAATTAATATTTATAAGAGAAAAATTACAAAAATGTCCAGAAGTTGTCACTTTTCTCACAATTTTTCAACTTTAACTGTTGTTTTCATCATTAATTTTAATTTAAACAATTTTTCTCTTCTAGCGCTATTAAAGCGTATTAAATTCTGCATCCAATGAGCCCTATTTGAATAGATTTTGTAAAAAATTAACTGAATTATTGTAGTTTTTCTCTTTACAGGTCTAGTAGCTGATTCAAGAACATTACAGTTTTCTTTTCTTTTTCATTCTTAATTGTTTATGTATAGTATTTGTCAAGTTCTTATAGTTTTTATACCATGTTGGTCATGCTAACAATAAGTTTTTTTAACAAATATTAATTTTATAAATGAACTATAAACGAACACGATTGGATAAAAATACTCCAAGTTATGAAGATTTTACTAATTTTTGTCATTTTTTGCATTTTCAGAAATAAAATAAATTCTACTTCTTGTATCAGATCTTGTACTAGATCTTGTGCACGATCTTGTACAAGAAAATATATTTAATATTTGTATACAAGAAAAAGTACATGTTCTTGTACATATTCTCATGCAGGTTCATGTACATGTATTTACACATGAAACCGTTCATGTCCTTGTACAATTTCATATGTAAAAAACTTTTTTTTCAACAAAATTTTAGATTTTATTAACTTAGAACCATTAAATTATGTATGTTAAGAATTATTGGGCAGCTGTAAAGTTGTAAGAAAACTACTGCGCAGTCTTTAAAGTTCTTCATTTTTATTAACTAAAGACATAAATAAACATGTACAAGAAGATGTATCAAATCTGGTGCAAGAAAAAGTACATGAACCTGCACAAGCATATGTACAAGAACACATACATTTTCTTGTATACAAATATTTAATAAATTTTTTTGTACAAGATCTTGTACAAGTTCTGATACCAGATCTTGATCTAAATTCTGGTGCACGAAAATATACATTTTCTTGTACAAGATTTTGTACAGGGATTTTCAATAGGGTATAAAATAACAATTTAGAAATATTTCCATTAAAACAATATGAGAAATCTCGAATTCCAATTTACTCTTTATATTATAGTAAAGAGAAAAACTACAATAATTCAGTTAATTTTTTACAAAATCTATTCAAATAGGGCTCATTGGATGCAGAATTTAATACGCTTTAATAGCGCTAGAAGAGAAAAAATGTTTAAATTAAAATTAATGATGAAAACAACAGTTAAAGTTGAAAAATTGTGAGAAAAGTGACAACTTCTGGACATTTTTGTAATTTTTCTCTTATAAATATTAATTTAAACAAAAACATCGAATATGAGCTAAAAAGCTCTGTTTCTCAGCTTCAAAATGAAAAAAAAATTTTGAAATAGGTGCAGAAATAAGAAAGTTACAAAGGTTTTTATGCATAATCATACGTAAAAATGGTTTTCTGGCTCTAAAATGAAAATTTAGGGATGTTTGGAGAATTTTATATACACCATTCTTCTTAGTTTTTTGTGACCTACAACCTCCAATGAATTCATAAGATGTTTTTTTTAAAAAAATTTTTTTGTAGCACCGTGCTATTATTATAATTTTTTAAAATTAGTCAGTGACACTTTAGTGGAAATACATATATGAAATTGACCCGCTTATTTATTTTTATTTTACAATTTTAGCTTAAGACTGGAATAATTTAAATATGAATTCATGTATTTAATGTAATGGAGTGTATCAAACAAAAAACACAAATCACGGGTGTTAATTTTGCAAGAATTTCACATAAAAACTGCAAAGGGGACATGCCATAAAAGTATTAGATCCTCTATTATAAAATTTGCTAGAATGCCATCTGATTTTCAGGTGGAATTTATACAACACAATCTTATCTCCGTATACACACAGCATTTCACACACACACACAAATATTATATGCTGCATTGATTCCGAGAAATGGCGCACAATCTATGCGCGCTACGGAGTTCGCGTTCCTTATATTCAACGTTCAAGTGATAAAAAAATAACATTTTAGCTAATAAACATTTAAAAATTTTAGTATTTAAAATTTTTCTATTTTACTTTTTAATAAACAACCACTTATTGGCAACAAATATTTTTAAAAAATTTTTAAATAAAATTATTTTAAATTTTGCGGTTAAAAACGCATAGTAAAACACGAGCGTGCGTATTGTGCGTTCCGCTCCTCGGAATCACCAGCATACAATGATGGTGTGTGTGAAATGCTGTGTGTATACGGAGGTAAGATTGTGTTGTATAAATTCCACCTGAAAATCAGATGGCATTCTTGAAAATTTTATAAGAGAGGATCTAATACTTTTATGGCATGTCCCCTTTGCAGTTTTTATGTGAAATTTATGAAAAATTATGTTATGTTTTCCTTTTGTTTATGTCGATTATGCATAACAATATTGTGCACTTTTCTTATTATAAATTCATTAAATTAACCATTAATTAATATAATTTATTTATTATATTTTAAAAATATTAATATCTGAAACATATAAATGCATGCATAATAGAAATTACATTTTATATAGGACGCCCTGCTGACATAAACAATTATACTGATCTAGATTGGGCATCAGGTCAAAATCTTGGGTATGAGAAGGGAGTTTCTATTAAAAATAGAACGGATCTTGATAAGTATCACCGTTCCGAAAAAAGGGTATTGATAGTTAATTGATACGATTAACCTCTTTTTACTGGGTACCCTTCATAATAATTAGATAATAAGATTAATTGAAATTATTATTATTATTTTTGCTACAAATACCCTTTTTTCGGAACGGTGATACTTATCAAGATCCGTTCTATTTTTAATAGAAACTCCCTTTTCATACCCAAGATTTTGACATGGTGCCCAATCTGGATCAGTATAATTGTTTATGTCAGCAGGGCGTCCTATATAAAATGTAATTTCTATTATGCATGCATTTATATGTTTCAGATATTAATATTTTTAAAATATAATAAATAAATTATATTAATTAATGGTTAATTTAATGAATTTATAATAAGAAAAGTGCACAATATTGTTATGCATAATCGACATAAAGAAAAGGAAAACATAACCTACTTACCTGTCATAAAATGTTTATAACATACTCGGAATATTTTTAATTGGAAAGCAGTCAATTTTCCCCGCTTTCTTGCATTTACCCACTTTTCCTGTCTTCTTTTCGATAATTTAATGAATTCATCTCCACTTTTTGTTAAATCACTTTCTACCCGCGACAAGGGATTGAAAGGATTGCAATAAGTAGTTTTATATTTTCTGTTGTTGACGCTTATTACTGCAGGAATTCTAAAAAAAGAAAGTTTCATCCCTGTCTCCTCGCATTCCACATCCAACAATACAGCAAAATAAAACCATTTTATTATTCCTGTATTGCATAAAAAATAAATTAATAAGAAAATATTTCAAATTCAGTGAAAAATGTACAGTGACAGCGGTTTGCTTGTCCTCCAGTAAAACAGCTAAGAGCAGCCATATTGGATTCCCCCATCCAACTTGAACTACCTTATAAGATAAATAATTTATTGTCAGGTAAATTCGACTGGTCTCTAGCACACCCAAGTACGAACTGACTCTCCCTTCTTATCTCACTTTTTAGCAATCCACATACAATTAAATCACGACATACACACAAATTCTCGACACACAGGTAAACACACAAACACATATACACTTATAATCCTACAGTTCGGCCAATCCTGACATTTGTTCGATCTCGAATATCGTCTTTTTACAAATTTAAAATTCCTTTTTTCATTTAAAACGCATTATCATTCTATTTCAATCCTTTTCGCCACAATCTCATATTTGTCGGTTCCCAGATTCCTTCATATTTTTTCTGAGTTGCTTGACATCCAGGAATATCCACTATCACGTATCTATTATTTCTCAAAACTATAATTATCTCATAAGGACCTTTAAATCGCGGTTTCAATTTAGGGGATATTCCCGTTCTCGCGTAAATTTTTTTTAACATTATGTAGTCGCCAATCTCATAATTAAAACTGCCGTCCTGATGACCTAAGTCGGTATTCGCATTCAGAGTAATTTTGGTTTTTGAGTTCCTTTTCTGTGGTTTTGAGATCGTGTTTCATTTTTTTGGATTTCTCTTCTTGAATTCTTTCCTCTTGACGTTTTTTTTAAAACATCTTGATATCTGCCATGGGCATTTTTCATCGAATGAATCAATGGTTTCGTTATGCTCAAAGATTTAAAATCTTCTAGTTTCGTCAAGTAGTCATAAATAATTCTGTGCCCAATAAGGGTCTCTTCTTTCAAATTTTCTACCAGCATTTCACGATTGATCGAAAACCCTCTTTCCAACGCGGCATTTCCACGAGA